TACATTTAACATTAAAGCCCACACTAGTTTAAACTCCAGCGCATCCACCATTTTTGATCCCAAAACTCTCTATTATAAATGAACTACACAAGTATCCCAAAAACTGCACCAGTACAGATTTTTTAACGAATCTTTAAAACCATTTGAGAGCTGGGATATTTTATTTACGGATGGATCAAAAACTAACACCAACACTACGTTTGCTGTGACAAACAAATCTGGTGTCACCATCTCCGTCGGTGCCTTGCCCCCTACTGTCCAGCATTTACAGCTGAAGTAGCTGCTCTGCTTGAAGCGGTATTATATGCCTCTCATATAAAAGGAGCGCACGTGATATGCACTGATAGCAGATCTAAAATCGATGCTATACTAAGACCTAAAAACGACTCTCCCTTGTTAGAAAAAATCCGTGAAATACTTTTACTACACAATAACTTTATTAAAAATATGTGGCTACCAGGACACGCGGGAATATTTGGGAATGAGGCTGCGGACAAAAGGGCAAAGGAGGCGGGGACAGAACCGCTACATCTTTTCAATTATGTCACAGAGAAGGACATATGCAAACTCTGCAAAAATACTAAGCACAAAGAATGGACTACGGAATGCGCAAATTTCCAACACAATTATAAAATATTTAACCCTGCCGGTGAGCGTACTGTCTACCCTACCGATGTGGCTAGCAGTTCCACTAAACACTTTACTCGCCTCAGAATTGTACACACAAGCGCAACCCACGCTCATCTTCTTACTGGAACAAGCGCACAACCTTGCCCTCTCTGTGGATTCAACAAATTAACAATATCTCACCTTATTGATAACTGCCGAGAACTACAGCACAACCGATCCTCTATTTTCGCCGACTCTAAACCCTCCACCCATCTTAAGATTGCTAACTCCACTAACATTAATTTAATTTCTAGATTCGTTGGTATCTCCAAACTTAGTATCTGAATAATGAAGTAATCTACTCCTAGTTATTGCTGAAATATAAGCATACTATCGATTTAAGGTATATCTACTTTTATGATGTATTTAAGCCGAAGGCCCTGGCAGCCAGTGCTTTACATGTAATTGTAGCAATTATTTAAAATTGTTTCTCTTGTAAATAAATGAATAAAATACATATGTCTATATACATACATATATTCATGTATGTTCATCAGCTATCAACGGTCCAAGTTAAAATGCTTTCAGTATTTTTTTTAGAATTTTCGCCTTTATTATACGGGACAGTCCTCTTTTTTGACCAATTGTCCTGGCAACTAATTTATTTTATACGGGACGCCAATTGTCCTGTATTTCTTTTAATGTCCTGTATTTGTCCCGTATTCGGGGTTCGGTATTTCGACGCCTTCAAATCTCAATAAAATTGCATGTCTATGAGCCAGTTTTAAATGATGTTGGAACATGATCATAACTTTCTCCATAAACAGTTATTATTTTCTAATCTGAATGCCTGTGCTTCGAATGGAGGAACATATACAGTAATCAAAATAAAAATTATGATTCTAGATTTTAGCAAGGTTCGGCTATTTTCTTTTGTTTATTTAATATTTATTATTATTTTTAAGTAAAGCTCTTTTCCTAACAAAAACCATATATATCAAAATTTCCGACTTTGCCCAAAAACTATGAGAATTAATTCTGCAAACTTTTCAATCAGAACCCTTAGAAAAAAAAAATGTGTTGCAGTCTTGTAGCCCATTAAAATTGAGTATAATAAAGTGCAAGTGCAACGTGCTGCTCATTTGCTTCCCGATCAACAAATTGTCGAACATACTAACATATGAAAAAAGTGCGTAGCACCGTCGACAAAAAAAAATTGCCAAAAAGTAACGGTAAGTCCTAGTTTCCTAGAACTTGCACTTTATCGTACTAAAATTTAACGAAACTTTTGTAAAAAATTTTGCGGGGTAAAATTCGCCAGAAAGACTTCATACAAATTTGTGATGTTACTTTAGGGATGCTGTTTCAGGGCTAATACATAAATCTAAAATCATTTAAGAAGGTGGGGCTAAAAGTAGCTTCATACACGTGGGCACAGTAGAGCTCCTCTATTGATGACTATTGTTTACGAATATAAAAATGTACTAAATGAAAAGCGTTTTCAGGAGATCGGTACTTTTGTAATGAAACTTTTAATATTGCCTTTCAGTAATGCGGAAGTAGAACGCGTATTTAATGCCATGAATTGGTTAAAATCTAAGCTAAGAAATAGAATGCAGGCAAATACAATGAGCTCACTTCTATACAGGGTGTCCCAGAAGTAACGTGCCAAACTTTAGGGCAAGGTAGGTGGGGGGTGAGCTCACTGATAAACAAAAAATTTTCAGGTAAAAGTGTCACCGTTTTTGAAATATTTACATTTTTTCGAATTTAAAAAAAATCGTGCCTTTTCATGTGTTTTCTTTAACTGCAACTACAAACCGGGCAATACTTAGTAAATTTTTTATGTAAAATACTTCCAGATAGTTGCCTCTCCATACTCAAATGCAATGTAGTTAAAATATATTAAGGAACCATCATAAAATTAGGACTATTTCTGGATTTTTAACTTTTTGATATTTTCTTCCCCAACTTTGACTATCTCGGGTGAAAAAAAAATTTACTGAGCTATAACTTTACATTACATAAAAAAATTGCTCATTTAATAAAGATTTCAGAAAGGTGCCACACTTACTGTTTTGAATAGAAAAAAAAAGTTATAGCCGCTTTTGTGGGTAAAGGACTGAGACACGCTAGAATGTATTTAATAGATTTAAATTGAATTTGCTCTTGTTACCGTCAAATGACATGCTAAATAGTACAAAGGTACATTATTACCTGCTCCTGACATTATTTTGTGTTACTTACCGGAATTCGGACTAGAGTCTATAACAAGGGCTATATCTATCAATATTTTTTGTGAAGGATGGGTTCACGTGAAATAAGATATACATGAGTTGTTTGAAGAAAAATTTATTCATTTATTGATAAAATATGCTCAAATTGGCGACCTTCTACTCTAATACAAGCTCGGCACCTTTTAAGAAAAGACGCTTTTAGAGATCTTAAACTCAATTGGGCTATCTCAGCAGCAGCTCCATTTATTTGTTCCCGCAAATGCTCTTCGTTTTGAATTGTTTTTGAATAAATTTTGTCCTTAAGACAGCCCCAGTAGAAAAAATCTAATGGATTCAGGTCTGGCGATCTAGCGGGCCACGTGATTGGCGAAGTGTTGCGGAGATTTTGAATTACCAAATGATCTCTTTAAAATGTGATAACTATGTATGCAGGCATAAAGCTAAAAAAAGTGACAAGAATCTGTGAAAATAGCTGAAATAATATGAAATCAAAATTTGGCATTTTTTTTGACATTAGAAAATATTTTTTTGCATTTTCTGGCATTATTTAAAAAGGGATGTCTGGATTGTCACTTCGACCTTGTTGAATATGCCTTGATGACTACATACATCAGGTGACTTCCCTTCATTATATATTTTATGCTTTTACCCGCGGGTTTCACCCGACGTCAGAAGGATACAAAATTCCACGCCTATGTTAAGTGTTACGCCCCCTTTTACAAACTCATTTATATCTAACTTACTGTAAGCACCTACCATAGATATGTCTGCATACCAAATGTCTAGTTTATGTGACTTATGGTTCCGAAGTTATGACTCACTAAAAATTCCATGCCTATGTTATGTGCCACACCCCTTTTGCAAACTCATTTTTATATACCTTATTATAAGCATCTACCATAGATATGTTTGCATACCAAAATTCAAGTTCATGTGACTTACAATTCCGAAGTTAGAGCTGATTAAATAATTCACACCTATGGGAAGTGCCACGCCCCCTTTTCCAATACCGGCAATTTTTTCCGATAAGTATGGAATTAATTTTATTTATCTCGACACCAATTTCTAGTACTCTACCACAAATATTTTAAGAGATATACAACATGAAAATTTTAGTTAGTATGGGAGGTGCCACGCCCCCTTTTCCAGTACTCCCGATTTTCCTCTATGCCTATAACCTTCCCGAGGTAAAAACAAATAAGTGTTCAAAGTTTAGTGCGATTCCGTGTCGCGGTTCAGCAGTTATAAGGTAATAAACAAACAGACATTCACATCTACATATATATATAGATATTGAAATAAAGATTTTAAATCGTGATGTAATAAATGACTTGTTTCTGTGTATGGGTATAGTCCTCATAAGCTTTTAAGGGTTTCCACTTTACTTTTTACTTTGCAAAATTAGGACTAAATTTCAATCAACCGCCAACATCGGTATGACACCATTACAGACGAAAAGGTTAAGCTGACTTATTGCCGTGCCTCTACACTTTTTTAGCTATACTTTTAATTTATATTTAACAACACTGTGGCTACATAAAGAGTAATAAAAACAATATATAAATTCAATAAATTAAAAAGAGCGAGAAAGCTGGTTCCTTTTTTGGATCGGAAACATACTAGATCGAAATACTGTAAAAGGGTAACTTTTGCGAAAAATGGTTTTGACCAAGTTAGTAGCTTAAGACATTGCCCGCATTCAGCCCCTTTTTTGCGTAGGACTAACGGTTTTCGAGGAAGTTCTATGCAAAAAGTTGTCACCTAATCTTTAAAGTGCCGAACGAGACACTTTGGTTAAAGAACTTTATGCGCATTACATTACATAGCAGGATATACAAAAAGTGAAAACAGTTTCTCATAAATATATAATCACCGTTCGAAGTCGGCGTAAAACTGTAGGCCCCGCCACTTGGTGTGATAACACGCCACAAATCGGAGGAGAAGCTTGGCCAAACACTAACATATGTGCAAGCACCAATCTGTTATTTTTATATGTATACGTATTTGAAAGTCTGCGTTCCACGAATATGTTTTTCCCCAAAGTAAAAATATTTTGGGATTCACAAAACCTTATCAAATGATCATCAAACATATCACTAGTTAAATTTTTGTTTTGGAACTAATATTTTTCATTTCTTTCTTGCTCCCTTATAGGACTATTATAGCCTTAGGTTACTATATTACTATGGATAAACCTCCTGCCCGGATTCGTCCTATTCGTTTGCCAAATGAGATCTTTATGCAAGCTAATGGATATAAGCCCGCACCTCTAGATCTTAGTGCAGTTACATTATCTCCTAAACTGGAGGAATTAGTAGATCAGTTGGCTGAAAACACACACAATCTCTGGGCTCGTGAGCGCATTCAACAAGGCTGGACTTATGGGCTAAATGAAGACTCCGAAAACCATAGAAGTCCACACTTAGTTCCCTACTCAAAAGTCGATGAAGCAATTAAAAAAGCAAATCGAGATACAGCTTCAGAAACAGTGCGGACGCTCTTAGTTTATGGATATGTATTGGATCCTCCCACAGGTGAAGGTAATGAAGCCTTATTAGCTGAAGCACAACGGCTGAAATTCGCTGCATTCCGCACTTATCGGGTTGAACGAAATTATGCCGTAACTAGTGGCAAATGGTACTTTGAGTTCGAAGTTCTCACAGCTGGACCGATGCGTGTGGGGTGGGCTAGGGCGGATTGCCATCCTGGAACCATGTTAGGCAGCGACGATTCTAGTTGGGCGTTTGACGGGCATAACGTAAGTATTTTTTAAACTTAACGATGGCGTACAATATTGAATATTAATTTTAGGTTGGCAAAGTTCATAAAAACTTACTAATATACTATGTACTTAAGTATATACAAAGATGTTTGTGAATTTTTGAAAAACTAAATGTATTTTGCACACACAAGCTACTAAAAAAGAGTATAGAGAACTTTTGATGTCTTCTCTGAGCACTTTTGTGCACAAGAGTATTACAACTTTGTTCGTAACAGCCTAAAGGAATCGAGATAGATATAAACATACATATAGGTTAGGTTAGGTTATTCTGCCTGGCCGACCGCCCCACATAGATCAATAGGTAAAGCCATATGGAGATAGAGGTTGTGTTTTATGGTCTCCTTTATTCCCGTACCCATGCATTTCCTGCGACCCCCATTTTGCTTGCGTGCACTGCCAACATGTTATGTCCTGTTAGGACACCTATCATAGTTCTGCAGTCTCAGTGCCAGCGGTAGTATAAGCCGGGTTTGTATCCCGTTTTGTAGTCTGCAAATTGGTACGAATGTTACGAATACCACTGTAAATGGAATGTGAAAAGTCCTTGTCGATCTCAGATCTACANTTTAAAATTTTTTATTTAACAATAAACAAAAAGTGCAATTTTTTTTAAATTTAATTTCTCAAAAAGTGTATTCTTTTTTCTCTCAAACTTTTTTACCGGGAAAGAGACACTTTCAACTACAATCAACCCAAATCTCTAATAGCAAAGATTTTTTTTCTGAGTTATGATTTTTTATAGAAAATATACGTTTTTGTGGTACATACTACAATATTCTTATATTGTTTAACTAAATGGAACATATGTATGCAATATATCAGCAAAAAGTACAGCCGTGATCATTTTTTGTGTAACAAATAGATATTAGAACACACTTTCCACCATACAGTTTCGATTATAAAAAGCGGGAAAATGTGATTTTGTGTTGTGTTGTATTGTGGAAAATGGGCGTAGCTGCGCCCACTTATGGTTACATGTGTATATCTTGGTAACCGCTGCACCAATTTCTTCCAAACTTGGCACAGTTGTTAGCCTTGCTATAGCATACCAAATGGCCGAAAACTTCTAAAATCAGACAATAACGACGCCCACATACCATATAACGGTAATTTGGGGAAATACGAAATCTTCGATAAATCAGTAAATACTAAAGCTAAAATATTCAAAATTTGTCTGGCAACAATTCTTTACCAAAAAATGCGTTTATAATGAAAATTGGGAAAATGGGCGTGGCACCGCCCACTTATGATGACACATATGTATGTATCTCGGTAACCGTTCTACCAATTTGTACCAAGCTCGGTATGGTTATTGTGCTTGCCACATAAAAGCAAAACGTTGAGGATTATTGAAATCGGACTAAAATTGACGACGCTTTTCATATAACTGTAAATTTCAGAAATACTTGAAACTTAAATATTTCGAAATTTAAGGACGCTAATTTACTCAAAATTGATACACCACGGCTTACCATGTAGCGGTAGCTTTCGGAAAGATGAAAATCATATATTTAATACTTGCGCCGGGTAATTTATGTTCGGCTCCGCCCGAACTTAGACTTTCTTACTTGTTTTGAAGTAAATTTTTTAACAGGTTGTAGTATAAAAGATTCAGTATATATGAGAGTGCCATGCCCCCATTTTTTCCATTAGTATAATATTGATTTCCTGTATCCCCCAACCAATTTCCAGTGCCCTACCACAAATACTTCCAGAGCTATGCAGTATGAAAAAATCTGTTTGTGTGGGAGGTGCCACATTGGGCAAGGGGGCCCAATTAGGGAAGCCAACTCGTGGGGAGTTCCCCGATTTGCGGAGAATTTTGGTTTGCGTGGGGAATCGGGAAATGGACCGTTTTTTGTGCGGAATTTCAGTTTACGTGGGAAATCGGGGGAGGAACTGTTGTTTTAAGAAGAATTAGGTGTTACCCAATGCAACTAAAAGTACTGATTATACAAACCTGAGTTATTAAATATCCAAGTCAGCAAGAAATAAGGAACAATGGCAGCACTATTTACAAATTGTCAATTGAAGTTTCTATTTTTACCGCCATCAGCTGTGATTTTTTTCTTTTCGTTAAATAACTATTAAACAATAGCAAATCGCAATCATATATACAAAATTTTCCATTCATTATAAGCCAAAAACTACAACTCGTTCTGTTCTAGTCAAGGCGAATTTATATAAGGTGGTAATCGGTTCAACAAATAAACAGTTACTTGTATTTTGTTTTTTCTTTTAGCGGGCCATTGTCAAATTTCAGCAATTCTTCCACAAAGGAAAAAGGGCGACAGAAAATACAAACACTCTCACGCTTTCACTCACTCACTAGCGAAATCACAACAAACAACTTATATAAATTCGTCTTGGTTCTAGTACATATAATAAAGATTAAAATTGCCAAAAAATTACCGTTGATTTTTTAGAATATTCTTTGTCGTATTTGCTTTCATATAACGAATAAACTAATTCACTTGAAACGTTTAGTTTATTACACTAGAAATGTGTGGGCTACCAAATTGCATACCCAAAATCTTTCTAGAAAATTTAATTAAAATTTTTCAAATTTTAGCGAAAGTTTGTTAATTTTTTTTTTAAATATTGCACAAATTTTGAAACTTGAATACGATTTTTATTAAAGAATTAACTATATATTAATCAAAAAATAACTCAAATAAAAAATTTGGTGCGACTAAAAGTTTTTCGACCACTGTATGTATGTAAACATTATATGTACATTTTTTATTATTTTTTTGTTAACTAGCTTTTTGAATACATAGTGGAATTATGTACATCAGCCTCATCGCATGTTGTCATTATCCATGCTTCGCCATAAACCAGCACGGGCATGATGAGTGACTTATAGAGTGTGGTTTTCGTACGTCGAGAGAGTAATTGCCTGCCAGTCCAAAGTAGCACTTGTTGGCAAGAGCGATACTGCGTTGGATTTCCATGCTGACATTATTATCGGTGTTAATGCTGGTTCCCAAGTAAACGAAATTCTCAACTTTCTCGAAATTATAGCTGTTAAAAGTGATGTGGGTGCCAAAGCGCGAATGTGCTGACGTTTTGTCCTCGTTTACCACCAGACGCATTCGCTTTGCTTAGTTATCCAACTTGGAAAAGGCAGAACAGACTTCGCGGTTTTTGTTACCGATGATATCGATTTCAACGGCATAAGCCAGCCATTGCACACTCTTGTAGTAAATTGTTCCTGAGCGGTTCAGTTCTGCAGTTCTTATTACCTTCTTCAACATCAGATTAAAGAAGTCACATGAAAGAGAGTCGCCCTGTCTGAAGCCCCGTTTGGTGGCGAACGGCTCGGAGAGGTCTTTTCCAATTCTGACGGAGCTGGTGGTATAGCTCAACGTCATTTTACACAGCCGTATCAGTTTAGCGGGGATGCCAAATTCAGACATAGCGGCGTATAGGCAACTCCTTTTAGTGCTGTCGAAAGCGGCTTTAAAATCTCGCGGGCCCTTTCCAAGATTTGGCGTATTGTAAATACCTGGTCTACGGTGGATTTCCCAGACCTAAATCAATACAGATAAGGCCGTCAGTTCATTGACGGTGGGCTTCAGTCCTTCACACAAAACCCTCGATAAGACCTTGTAACCTATGCTTAGAAGGCTGATCCCGCGGTAGTTGGCGCGAATGGCGGGTCGCCTTTCTTGTGGATTGGGCAGAGCCCACTTAAATTCCAGTCGTCGGGCAAGCGTTCATCTGACCATATTCTGCATAATAGTTGATGCATGCACCTTATCAACTCCTCGCCACCTCACGTGGATAGCTCAGCTGACAGGCTGTCAGCTCCACCAGATTTTTTGTTTTTCAGCCGCGGTATTGCTATTCGTACCTCGTCATGGTCAGGCGGAGGACCATCGACTGGTGGCTCGGGTTCTTCCTCTCCACAACTTTCCGTGCTGCTACCATTCAGTAGCGTGGGAAAGTTTTCCCTCCATAATCTAAGTACGCCATTGTTGTTCTTACAGGTGTACGGCCTGGTCTTGAAACCTTCCGTAAGTCGCCTAATTATCTGGTAAAATTTTCGGGCATTCTTCCTGTCGACCAGCATTTCTAGCTCTTCGCACGCACGTATTTCGGCCCCTCTCTTCTTATTGCGGCAAATACGTCTCGCTTCCCTCTTCAGATACCTATAGCGGTCCCACATAGCGCGTGTTGGGCCAGATCGCAGCGTGTCCCTGTAGGCGGCATCTTTTTTCTCTGCAGCTTCCTGACACTGCTCATCGTACCAGTTGTTCCTTCGGGCTCACTGAAATCCCACTACTTCTTCGGCGGCGGTACTTAGTGAGCGGGAAATGTGGTTCCGCTGGTCGTATATGTCGGCTTTTTGAAGAGTGCTCTCTGAGCGCAGGTGTGAGAGTCGAGTAGCGAATGCATTGGCTGTCTGTTGTGATTGCAGATTTTCGAGGTTAAGCTTTCCTTGCATATTTGGGCGCACAATTTTTGATGCACAGAGGAGCATGCCTTCCGTCTATCCCAACATGGTCGATTTGGTTTCTCGTTTTTCGATCCGGAGACAGCCACGTAGCTTGAAGAATCTTTTTGTGCTTGAACCAAGTACTGCATATTACTTAACACCTGCTAACGCGCTCATGGGAAACATTCCGTTCTCATGTGAAATGCTGACGCTATGTCTGCAAATATGCGCGTGACAAAAATGAAAACAACGGCAGTAACGGAGTAGCGATCCACCTGCAACTGCAGTCGCTGCAACCACAACAACAACGAAAGCACTAGCAATAGCGAATTGGCGATCCACCTAAAACTACAGTCGCNGTGAATAACAGTACTCGGCGACGGAGTCTCTCTCCTACCACAAATCCAACACCGAATTTGCGCTCCATTACATGGCAACTGTAGTACACGTCGCAAGATCCCAAGCATTGCTTGCCTTGCCCCGTCCAACGCATTTCTTCTATGGCGGTGATGTCAACTTTTGTTCTTACGAGGAC